GCGCAACATGCTGCAGAGTATGCCATCTACGTCACCAGAGCTCCTGAGGCCAGGTTGAGGGGCCTTTATATTCCAGGCCCAGGCATTCAGTGGTGTTACCATCTTTGCCATTTTTCTAAGCCAACCAAGGCTGAGGAGGTGAGAATCAGTGGATTTAGGAAAAATCAGAGTATGTAGGACAGGGACCCATCCTGTGACCCCCACATGTGTCTCCAGGGCTTAGACCCCAGACCTCCTGTTCGCATCCCCGCTGATGACTCAAGGCTGTGTCAGATTACCCAGCCAGCAAGGCTCACACGGGATTACTAATTGGTAGTGAACAGTTTCACGTTTTTCAGCACATCAAAGATTCTTCTAGGCATAGCTGGCATCTGTCCCTTTCCCAGCCCCACAGCACCCTCCTACAGAACCACTGCCTCTTTCGAATTCACAATCCCATGGGCTTCCTTGTTTTTATTAATCTGTTGGGAACAATTTCATATGGGTGAAACAACCTCCTGTCTGTGGTGAAATTTGTCATGACAGATTAGTAAGTAAACCAGTACTCACCTCACTTGTTGGATAATCTACCCCCAGCTCCGTGTGCCAGGACTCTGAACTGATCTGTCGTAGTTCTACCTGTGCTGTGAATTTGTCTTCCCATCCTCTGTGTTGGATCTCTGGCAGCCTAGTGGGTGAGAGGTTGCACTGCAAACCCAAAGGCATGATGTTCGAATTCACCAGCAGTTCCTTGGGAGAAAGAGGGGCAGTCTCCTCCTGTGCGATTCACAGCCTCAGAAAACCCACCAGAGGGTCAGCTGTGTGTTGGTTCTGAGTCGAAGGCATAGAACAACAACAAAAAACCATCTCCTGTATCCTGAATCGGATTCTACATTGTAATAAGATCCGATTCTCAGGGTTCTTTGTTAAAGCGTAGATTCTGATTAAGTGTATCTGCAGTGGAAGGGCAAATTCTCAGCAGGGACGTGAACTAGGAATAAACCAGTTGTAAGGCCTGGGCAAAAGAGAGAGGCTGGTCGAGGCTCTGGTTAATAATGGCAGTCTGGGAACCAAATGCATACAAACCCCCTAGGACTTTGCTCGGGAGCTTATTCCTAGAAAGTCAGTATCAAGAGTGAGCATCCAACCCTGAGTGACTCGCGTTTCAGCTCCTAGGAGCTCTGGTGGTGTAGTCCGGGGGGGGCTGGGGGTTGCACTGCTAACCAGAAGACCATGTCTCACAGTGCTTCAAATCCACCGGCTGTTCCTGGAGAGCAGGGTGGACACTCTCTTCCTGTTGCTGTTTTCAGCCCTGCAAACTCAATCAAGAGTCACTATGAGTTGGACAGTGTTTAAAGTCTGCTGTCAGGGACCTCTGCAGAGTAATAAAGAGCAACAATGTTTGTTAGTCTAGAGACTAAGGTGCTCCTGATCCAGGCCATAGTCTTCACCATTACTTGCTATGACTAGGGATGATAGAAGGAGAACTGATGCCTTTGAGCTGTGGTGCTGGAGAAGAGTACTGAATATACCATGGACTGCGAAGAAAGTGGACAGGTTCATCCTAGAGAAGGTGAAACCAGGCTGCTCCTTGTAGGCAAGGATTCTGATGCTTCGTCTTATGTACTTAGGACATGTTGCAAGGGGGGACCAGTCCTTGAAGAGGGACGTCATGCTTAGAAGGGTGGAGGGATAGCACAAGAGAGGAAGACCCTCAATGAGATGGATTGATTCAGTGACTGGGGTAATGAGGGTAGATGTGTCAGAGACAATAAGGTTGGCACAGGATAGAGCAGGGTTCAGAGCTGTTGTACATAAGGTCACTATGAGTTGCAAGGGACTCGACGGCACATAACAACAACAACAACAACATGAGTTGGATCCATGCATAGTTCAAATCCACCAGCTGCTCTGTGAAAGAATGGGCAGTCTCCTCCTGTGCAATTAACTGCCTCTGAAAATCCACTGGAGGGTCAGCTATGAGTCACCTCTAACTCGACAGCACATAACAGCAACAGCGTGGCTTGAGAGCACGGAGCTGGAGGTTTCTTTCAGCACACCACTGTTGATTTTGGAGTCAGGGCTGATTCAACAGCTGTTAGCAAATGAGCCTCTGCTCCCTCAGCTTCAGAAGAATGGGATTTTCTGACAGGGTTGTTGTTACGAGCTGCCATGGCATCAGCCACCGACTCGTGAACCCCTGCCCTGTCCTGCACCTTCCCCAGGATCAGCTGCAGATCAGAAGATTGTGATCTGTGGAGTTTCTGTTGGAGTTTCCACTGGCTGACGTCCAGCAGATAACCAGGCCTTTCCCCCTCGTCTGTCTTAGTCTGGAAGCCTCCCTGAGACCCATTCAGCATCATAGCAACACACAAGCCTTCACTGATAGAAAGATAGGGGCTGCACTTGAGGTTCATTGACTGAGAATTGAACACGAGTCTCTCACATGGAAGGGAAGTTCTCCTAATGAGCCATCAATGCCTCATAACAGTCAGGTTAAGTATCACTAACTGCTGTAACAAATAACCTTTGCATTTCAGTGACTTAACACAGAGGTTTGGCTCTTGCTCATGGCTCAGTCCAGTGACAGCCAGTGGGGGTGGGGATGGAGTTCTGCTCTACATAGAACATTCAAGGAGCTGGGCTCCTTCCACCTGTTAACTCAGTCTCCCCCAGGGCCTCAGAGTTATTCTCAGAGCTGAACATCTACTAAGAGCTTGCAGACAGTTCACTGAGTTTAAACACCTCAGTCCAGGGGCACGAAAACTCCACATATTCCAGTCACATTTCATTGGCATAGATGAGCCAAGGGTCCCGCTAGATGCAAGAAGACTTGGAAAATGCCACATGCCAAGACTTACCTTCTGATAGGCTTTGGTGACCACTGAGCCAGTTCACTGGGATGGGCCAACAAAACCTGGGTCCCTCTCCTGCCTGTAGCCTGCACCTCGCTCTCCTCCTGCTCCCCGAGTTCTGTTCCTCCTCCCACCCACCCGCCCTTAGGAGAATCAGTCCTTGCCAAGCCTCCTCTGAGGGTAGGCGGGTGGTGAGATAATGATCTTCCCATGCTTATTGCCTCTTGGAAGGCAGGTGCTGGAGGAGAACCAAGTCCACTTTGATTTTTTCTCTCCCTGTTCCCTTCACATTCGTTCCCCGGATAAATTTAGCCAGCCCTGGCTTTGAACACCAGTGCCCAGGATGTCGACTTTCTGCTTGCAGGATGTCGACTTGCTGCTCTCCGAGTCAGCGTCGGAGCACTTTTCCTGCTGGAACCCCCGGGGAAGTAGACTTTGAGATGACAGGCCCATCTGCAAACATCTGTGACCCCACCCACCCACACACCCTCCCAGCCCCGTGGGCACCAGCTGCCTCATATCTGAGACAGCCCCCTAACACACCGCCCCCCCAGTTCCACAGCCCCTGGAGGGAGCCAAACGCAAAACGAAAGAATGCTGTCAGAGTGATTGCAACTCACGGCGACCCCATGCCTGACAGAGGGAGACTGCCCCGCGGGGTTTTCTTGACTGTAATCTTTACAGAAGTCCACCACCAGGTCTTTCTTCCTCAGTACTGATGAGAGACGTTGCCTGCCACTTTGTAGGTATCAAAGATTAGTGGAAGTGCAGCCAGTCTGCTCCTGAGAGGCAGGGGTGGTGAAGTGTCATCTTCTGTACTCTGGACATGTTGTCAGAGGGGCCAGTCCCTGGACAAAGACGTCATGGTGGAAGAGGGGAAAGACGGGGCTGAGAGGAAGGGATGGATTAACACAGTAACAACACACAGGGCTCGACTGTGTCAGAGACGCCGAGGAGGGCACAGGACAGGGCAGGGTGCAGATCTGTTGTTCACAAGGTAACTTTGAGTCATAAGTGACTCTGGCCCTAACAACAACAACAATGACTAATACCATTTAAAGCCCAGGTCTAGCACTTTGCTGGCTATGAAATGAGCAGCAGGTCCCTTGTGGTGGTGCGAGTTAGCTATCATGTTTTGTAGGTGTGTGCCATGGAGTCAGAACTGACCCATTACTGACCCTCCAGAGGGTCTTCAACGGCAGTAAATCACACAGGAGGAAGTCGTCCTTCCTTCCCCTGCAGAGCAGCTCGTGGATTCGAACTGGGTGCCTTTGGGATTACAGCTCAGCTTCTGACCACTAGGCCACCAGAGCTCCCGATTAAATGTAATAGTTCTTATAAATGCCCCCATCATGGTTTCTGGAGGCCAGCCGTCGAGGCAGGGGAAGTATGGCAGAACAAGGCTTAGCCTCAGATAAATCTGCTTGGAGTTTCATTCTAGCCAGAGGCACCTCAGAAGCAAGGCCTGGCCATCTCCATCTGAAAACCTGGTGGAACACAGTTCTGTGCTTCTGTTCTGACACACAGAATAGATGTATCTGATGGCACACATCAGAGTTATTCAGGGAGATTACTTAAAAGGCAGTTTCTGGGCCCCTCCCAGAAACAGGATACCCTGGGTGTAGGGAAGTCTCATGGAGCCTGGGCATCTGCCTTCCTTTTCTTTTTTTAAGTTTTATTTTATTATTTTTTGTGTGTGTACCATCAAGTCGGCTCTGACTGGCACAGGAGGAGATTGACCCTCCTTCTCCAGCAGAGCATCTGGTGGATTTGAACCATGTACCTCACGGATTGTAGTGCAGCTTCTTCTCACTAGCCACCAGAGCTCCCTGAATCTGCCTTTCCGCTAAGATCTATGCAGGGGATCCAGGTGCATCCATAGCACATCGTACTGCTAGCCAGAAACAGCCATCTCCAGTGGTTTGAATCCATCAGCTGCTCCAGGGAAAAGGGGAACAGTTTCTTCCCATTAAGATTTACCTCCTTGGAAACTCACTGGAGGGTCTCCATGAGTCAGAATCAATGTGTGGGTGCAGGAACCCACTAACCAAGCCTGCTGTAAGGGATGCGCATACCCGAAGGTCTCGGGGCCCTAGAAGACCCCGGGGAGTCAGGCGGCAGGGACAGGAGCCCACAGCAGGGCACCCCTTTGCCTCTGGCCCCCAGGTTCGCCAAGTACTACAAGACGGAGAATGGCCAAGAGTACCGCACCCTGCTGAAGGTTTACGGCATCCGCTTCGACGTGCTGGTGTACGGCAACGTGAGTTCTCGGGCGGCCAAGGCGGGGTGCATGCGCGCAGCCAGGGGGCCGCTCCCGGACCCTGAAGGGGCTCCCAGATCCTCAGCTGGGCAGGCCCCCCCCCACCTCCTCCCCTGCACCATGAAGGCCCAGGACTTGCTGATGCTCCAACCAGCCTAACTGCCCAGTCTCCCTGCCTGGGAGGCCTGTCCGCCCACCTCGATCTTTGTGCACACAGGCTGGCAAGTTCAACATCATTCCCACCATCATCAGTGCCGTGGCGGCCTTCACCTCCGTGGGCGTGGTGAGTTCAGATCCTGGCTCGGTGGGAGGCCAGGGAGGGTGGGGCCCGGGTGGTCCAGCTACAGTGAGTGGAGTGAGAACTGCTTCCGCTCTATCCCCACCACCTTCCTGCTGGGTCAGCCCTATCTTGATCACCTCCAGTCATGGAGAGCTCATTACCTCCCAGCAGAGACATCAGAGCATGAACTCTGTTTTCAGGTGCGATTTCAAATGTTAGAGTCCCTGTTTTTCACCATGAAGGTGAGGGAGGAGGTTCCAGGGTTCCCACATACTCAAGAGACCTGGATGAAGGGGGGTTTGGCTGCGAAAACAAGGCACAGCCCCTCTCCGTGGGGGCTTCTGCCTTCAAACCTTCCTCTGCATTGTGGTCAGGGGTCACTCCCAGAAGCTGGGAAGGGTGTCACAAGGGCATTCAGGACTCAGCCAGACCCCATGCATGCTGGCCTTAAAGAAGGCCAGCCTGCTGCCCTCCCCTCTCTGCTCCACCCACCTGGCAGCCCTCACAGCCCACCCTCCTCTCTCTTTAGGGCACTGTCCTCTGTGACATCATCTTGCTCAACTTCCTCAAGGGGGCTGACCACTACAAAGCCAGGAAGTTCGAGGAGGTGAGCAGAAGGGAGGCAGAGGGCAGTGGGGGCAGGGCTAGAGGGAGCAGGACCCGGATCACTCAGGGGCTAAGCTTCTGTGCCTTCTGAAGGGGTGTCCACTGGACTTCCATGCACAGCTAGGGTCCAGACTCAAGAGGTGGGCTGGCCAAAACTGGACTCTGTGGGTCTCTGCTGTCAGCGCCCGCATCCTCCTCGTCTCCCATTTCTGGGCCAGAACAGACCCCCACTGTGGGCTGGCTCAGGCTTTGTGTTCTTTCAGGACGTGCAGAGGGGTGCTGGGAGCACACAGCTTGCTCTGGGGCCCTGGCTCCCATGGGATCCCGTAGGAGGAGTTTGCCCACACAGCGTGATAACGCCAGTCCTTCCGCCCGCAGGTGAACGAGACGATGCTGAAGGTGGCAGCCTCACCCAACCCAATGTACTGCAGAGACCAGACCACGGAGGAGAAACAGTCCACGGACTCGGGGGCCTACTCCATGGGCCATTAGTGCCTCTGCCCAGGGCCCCACGCTGACCCGCTGGCTCCAGGCCTCCCGCTTGGCAGCAAACCTCACCTGGACAAGGGTCAGGGGAAGGAGGAGAGAGAGAGGCTCTTATTTCCTCTGCTGACCCCTTTAGACCACAGCCATGACCCTGCTGTCCCTGTCCAGTCCTCCCAGCGCCCCAGCATAACTGTATAATCGTATAACTGCAGGAGCCAGTTACACTCCCAGCTGAACCCCCCCTGACCCCGCTTGCTTTGCAGCTCTGCCTGAGGCACCCCCCTCCCAAAGAGAAGAGTAAAGATAATAGATAACAATAGCAAAGGTGAGTGGTCCCAGAGCCTACCGGGGCCAGGCACTTTCACATTATACCCACTAATCCTTAGAAGAATACTATTGTAGAATACATAGGTATGACTCCCCATTTTGAAGGTAAAGGAAGGCTCAGAGAGACTGAGTAATTTGCCCAAGGCCCCACAGCCAGGAAGTGGGAGCCCTGGGATTTGAACTTAGATCTATTTGAGTTCATTTACCCCTAAATCTTTAGAGAAGAGTGGCTCCTGGGGGCGTCCACCTCTGCTGCTTCCACGACCTCCACCCTGACCACGCCTAAGCCCAGCTCAGTGATGAGTCGTTGGGTTCCGTTGAATTCTGACCCATAGCTTCGCTATGTGCAGGACGATGAACCAGCGCCTGGCCCTCTGCCCTCTTCACCTCTGTGGCCATGCTTGGAGCCTTGTCAGTTCATTGCACTGAGGTTCTTTCTCTTGTACCCTGACCCTCTCCTTCACCAAGTGTGCTGTCCTTTTCTGGAACTGGTCCCTCCTTTTAACGTGTCCAGTGTGTGTGAGACACAGTGTCCCCATCCTCTCATCTAAAGTGTGTTATGACTGCACCTCTCCTCAGACAGATGTGTTCATCCTTCTTGCAGTCCCTGGCTCCAGGTTTACCCAGGAACTTGGGGCCCTCCCCTGAGGAGGACCTGTTAGCCAGCAGTATGGGATTCTGTCTCTGTCTCGGAGGGCCTCGACTTCAGGATGAAACAGGAGGACCAGAGGGCCTTCATTGAGTGGCCTCTATTATAATGTTAGATGCTAAATGGGCCACAGAAACTCTTATCCAAGCCTTTTGTTGACTGAAGATCCATCTGAGGCCAGAGAAGGGAGAGTCATGTAATCAGCTACCAGGAAGGAATCCACAGACGCTTCTCGTCTGAGGAGACCAGAGCAAGAGCACCCAGGCCAGCGCTAACTCCGCCTCCCCAGGATGTGCCCCCACTTCCTGGGCTCCCCTGAAGATAATGCACCCAGGCTGGTGAGGACGGAGATATGCACCATATGGGGGGAAGGGGACACCTTCTAAAGAATCACCCAGGGTCAAGTCTTGATTGAAAAACCATCCAGAATTCAGTATTGGCTGGGGTGCATGCCAGCAAGTGACCCTCAAGTTCACATTTCGTTAACTTCACTGCATTAAGTTGGTGACGCCGACTTCATTTAGCTCAGCGTAGAGAAGTTGCACATACATGCAACTGGGAGGTCTTAGCAGAAACAGCTGCTCCGTACGTGGATGAGGGTGGACGCCGTAACAGAAGGCACATGGAAATGGGGTCATGGGCAGCAGGTGGACCCTTGCAAAGGTATGATCCCCTCTCATGAGGGAGCAAGGGCAAGGCCTCCACAGGCTGCTATCACTCCTCCCTCCTTCAGCCCCACCCTGGAGAGAGGGGGACAGCATCGCCCCAGTGTCAGCACTGGTCAGCGCCCAGACTCCCCCTGCCCAGTGAAGGTAGTTCCAGGGACCCAAACTAGGAGGCCCACTGAGCATCCTTGATTGATCCCAGACCTCAGAAGGTTAGGTTGAGGAGCAGATCAAGTAGCTGTGTCCCAGAGGGACCCTCTTTCCTACACCCCGCCAGTTCTTCAGACTCAGAAGGTCCTCCCGAGAACACTGAAGCCCCTCCTGTGTGTGAACTCGAGACTGTCTTCTCTGCATCGGAACCAACAGTGGCTGTGTGCTAGCTTTCGGGCTAATGTTGGTGGTAAGAACAGCTGACTTGTCACTCTTGCAACATGGCCAGCTCCGCACCCAATCAGGACAACCCCACGGACCTGCACGCCAACCCTGCTCATGCTGACTTTGTTGCAAACTCTCTCAGACAGAACAAGAAGCTAACAGTACGTGGAAATGAGAACTGGAACCCATCTCATTCCTAACACCACTCTGCTGCTTCACTTACTCAGTGTGAACGTTGTTATTTACTGATTCAGCCAACCAGTGGGCTAAATGCATGACCTCCATTATCTGGCTCAACCCTCTTCTACTAAAGAAGAAACTGTAAATGAAACTCCAACAGTAGAACTGGGACTTGAAGGCAAAATTTCATGATCTTAACTTTGGCTCTTGGATCTTAACCTTGGTGCTTTAGCTGTTTGCAGAAATGAGAACGAGCCTCAGCTAGAGGGATTGACACCGTGACTGCAGCAGTGGGCTCGAATGTGTCAGAGATGATGAGGGCGGCACAGGGTTCAAGTCTGTTGTTCACAGGGCCATTATGAGTTCTGTGCAACTCGACAGCACCTAACAACAACATGTGCTCTATTAGTTAGGATAGACCAGGTTTTACTGCAGTAAAATGTAAACTCCAAACACAGTTGCTTGTTTCAGAAACCAACTTCACTGCAAGGGATGCTGGGAAATGTAGTCTTCCTGGATCCTAATGAGGAGGAAACTGACCATAGCGCTGTCTCTGCTTCTTTATCTCTTTTTCAGTGGCTTCTCTTTTCCACCGATGCCCACAAAGAATTCCACATCTTCTTTTCTATATTCTCTCAGAACTCTCTTCTCAGCAAGCTGCCATTAGTCTCCTGGGGTATTAAGAGATCACATTCTCAGGAGTTCTCCCAGGAGCATTTGCTTTCTAACTGTATAATAAGCTTATCTGACATCCAGTAGATGTCTGCTATTTCCTCTTTGTCTCTGGTTGTTGGTGCATATATCTGAATGATGGTTGTATTCACTGGACCTCCTTGTATGCATATGGATATTATCCTGTCACAATATTGTATTTCAAGAAGGATCTAGAAATGTCTTTTTTAACTATGAAAGCAACCCCATTTTTCCTCACCTTTTCATCTCCAGAGTAATAGATCTTATGATCATCTAACTAAAAATGCTCCATGCCAATCCATCTCATCTCCACAATACCTAGTATGTCAATATTTATGCGTTCCATTTCTTCCTTAACAGTATCTAATTTCCCTATATTCATAGTTTTCACATTCCATGTTCCAATCACGAGTGTCTGTTCCTCTTCCTTTGTATTTCCATATTTGAAAGCTCTGCCTCAGTTAGTCTATGTGTGTTCTGTTATACATAGGGTTTTCTGAGGCCTGCTATTTCAGAAGTGGATGGCCAGTCCTTCCTCCTAGTCTGTCTTAATCTGAATGCTCAGATTTAAAGAAGTTATCTGACAGACAAGCATTTTACAGAAAAAAGCAAATGAAAGATATTTCCTCCAACTGTGGAATTAACTATTAGTTTCAGTGTAGTACCCGCTCTTGACACAAGTGTTTTGACCCACTTATTTCCCTGCTCCACCATCCACCAGGGAGGGGTAAGAGCCTCCATCAGCAGCATCTACAGCAGAAGACAAATTCCTAAGAGGTCAGATCTGCCTCCATGCTCTTCACACCATCTTCTACCATTTCTAACACCAACTGTCCCTCCTAGGGTCTTGCTGCTCTGCTGCTGGGTTCACTACTCCATTGCAATGGTGCACAAACTCCCAGAGTACAATCGCAATTATGGGGCTCAAAGCTAACAGGTTACAATTCAACTTGGAAACAAGATACAATTCTTCAATCAGGACAGCTTCTCAGGCATGTTTTGGAGGCCTTCTGGCCTTCAAATCCTCAGCTCTACATCAGCACTACAAAGTTCTCTAAGTTCTGGATCGCGGTGTTTCCATTCATCCCCTACCCTCCCCCTCCGTCCAAGTCCTCCAGCAAGGTTGGACGAAGGTCCCTGGCCCTGCTTGCACTGGTTCCAGCTCCGTGCTGGCAGTCCCTGGTCACTTCCGTCCCATGTCAGTTTCCAGGTTTTGCTGTAACTACTATTGCTCCCATCTAGGTCCCTGTTTGGGTTTTGCAGAAACCTTTGGTCCAAATGGATGCGCACCGAATTCTCTGATTCTTCTTCCTTGTCGATAGCAAGATTCCCATCCTCTGCCTCCTACAGTTGTTACATGACGTCGAGCCGAATATAACTCGGAGCGACCCCGTGAACATCAGACCTGTACTCCGTCCTTTCCCATGCCATCCTTAGCATTCTGGAAACATTTGAGTCCATTGTCGCAGACACTGTAATCCATCTCGTTGAGGGTCTTCCCCCTCCTTCACTGGCCCTCCCCCTTTCCAAGCATGATGTTCTTTTCCGAGGAGTAGACTCTCCTAACAACATGTTCAAAATATGTAAGATGTAGCTTTACCATGTTTGCCTCCAAGGAGCACTCTAGTAGCACTTTCTCCAAGACTTATCTGTTTGTTGTTTTGGGAGCACTCTTCTCCAACACCACACTCAAAGGCATCGATTCTTGTCATTCTTCACTGTCCTCTCAGATGCACAATAGGTGATTGGAAAGAGAGTGGCTTGAATCAGGTCTCTAAACCAGCTCAATTTAAGCGTAGTGTGTGGCCAAACGGGCCAATTCTCTTATCAGTAGTCTATATAATCTGTCTGTATGTGCCCACTCAGCAGAGTGATGAAAGTCAAAGACAGTGGTCTAGGAGACCCATTTTGGACAATTAAGGCACTATACCACACACAGGCTATCCAAGCCTCTAACGCCAAAGGAATGCGTATACAAGAGTTGAATTTTAGACCTAGTATCATTTGTGAAGCTTGGAAAGACAGCCATCTTGTTCTTGTATTAAGCAAATTTTAGTCAGGAGGCTCCTTCCCCAGCCCTCACCATCTCTAACCCTAGTCTTGGCTGGGAGTATGCCAGATTAACAGCTTTAGCTAGAACTGAGTCCTTATTGAGAAGACAGGTGGGAGCTATTAAAAGAAGGCTCAATTTTAGTCATTGTTCAGAAGTGCTGGTCCCAGGAGGTGCCTGTACCATGAACAATAACAGAGGTAGAACAGACCAACCATATGAAATCAAAAGCGCAACATTTGCCCAGGAGTAAATCTCAGAAGGGAAGAAAGGATACGAAACTAGGACAAATGGAAAGGGTGAACACAAGTAGGGACTGGAGAGAGTGCTGTGACATTGCGGGAGTTGCATTGACGCCATGAAGCAAGAGGTATATGGACTGTTGGATGGAAAGCCAAGTTACTCTGTAAACTTCCACTCCAATCATAATAAAAAGTTGGAAAGCCAAGTTATTCTGTAAACTTCCACTCCAATCATAATAAAAAGTTGGAAATTAAAAGTGTTCAATATTTAAGGAAAACCACTAGAGGAGCAGGCTGACATCCCACAGGTGGGTCTCACTCCCTTAGCTCTGTTTTGGAAAGCCACCCGCACGCCCACCTTGCACCTCACACAGAAACACTGAATCCAAACTGAGAAGGGTTTGTCTCCCTCCCACCGCGACCCCCCCAAAAAAAGCTCTTCCACCGGGGTTGGGGACTGAGGGAAGGGGTCGAGGGCCCAAGGAAGACCGCCGCCTAGTCTATGTGTCGCCTCCAGGTGGCGCTGCAGCTAAACGACTCAGCACCACCCATCCACCCTCCCACTGAGAGCAGGCAGCTTAGACTCCACCACCGCGCATCCCTCAGCATCCTACCCCTGCATCCCTCAGCATCCTACCCCTGCATCCCTCAGCATCCCGCCCCTGCATCCCACCCCGCAGACGGGGATGCTCCCACGCTCTTCACAACCTGCAGAGGAGTCCCTCAACATGAACAGAGAAGAAACAAGAGTCAAGGACTGCTGTGAGAAGTCTGAATTTATTATCAGGAAGGCTTAGGGGGCAGGCCCGGTGCAGAGGGGAGGACCACGGGGAAGGGGGTCCCGGAGAGGGTCTCACTGTCGCAGGCTTAGTAGGAGCAGACGAAGGGCAGACTCCTTTTGCACAGAGCTCGTCGCCAGTGGCCCCCTGGCAGTAGAGAGCACAGGTTTGTCAACTGCTAACCAGGACCTTCCCTATTTCATTTGGTTCCTCCTGGGGCCCCGCCATGCGTCTCCACATGGTTTCTAAGCTGGGCAGGGTGCTGAGAGGGTGACATGAATTATTCACTGTGACTCCAGGAGGTGGGTGTTGCCATCATGCCCATTACACAGTTGTAGAAGCCGAGGTTTCGTGAAGCTAAATGACTTGCCTCGATTTCAAGACCAGCACTTCTCAACTTACTCACTTCCCCACAGATGGTCTTCGCCACCGCTGCTAAACTCCCTCACATCTGGCACGCATGCTGTTGCCCACATCTGCTTTTTAAAGCTGATGTTCTAGCTGGCAGCCTCCTAACTTCCCCAACCCTTACTCACATCTAACATTCACATCTTCTGCTTCCATCGGTTACCTCAACCACTCACATAATCATCCTCATGTCAGAAAAGGGTCCAGGCTAGTCCATGAGGATCGGAGTCCTCCCATCATCTGATCCTCCACAGGGTGCCCCATCCTCTAGTTTTGCTTGATGGACTCCATTTCTCTCAGCCCCCCTCCCAAGCAGGAGTTTGTTTATCTACTCGGATGGAGGGAATGATGTTAAAGGAACTGTAGCCAGGCAGCTCAAAGGAATGAGAGAACGAGCTTTCCCTCCCACACCAGTATCCCATCTCCCTCACCTCTGGTGCACAGGGCCACACAGCGTCCTTTTCCACCCCCAGGCTGCCCTGGGGCCCAGAAGGCAAAATTCCAGGCACTCCCGTCAGTCCAGCTAAACCTCTTGCAACGTAACTAAAGAAATAATAGACTAAATTAGAAGACAGACAATCCAGAGGCTCCAGAGAGTGCCCTTTGCTGGCCCCTTTCACTGCCTACCCACCCAAGAGGCAGGTATCCTAGAGGCCCATCCTGATGGCCAGGTAACGACAATGGAAGAGCAGCCAGCAAGCTCAGCCATCACACAGAGCATCTCAAACTTCACTGTGCACACAGGTTTCTGGGGAATCTTGTAGAAACGTAGATTTTGATTCCAGAATTCTGGAATGGGATCCGAGACACTGCCTTTCAAATAAGCTGAATCTGACACTGCTGGTTCATGGGACAAACTCTGAGTCGCCCTTGTTCATCTACAATCCCAGAGATCTCCTGGGAGAGGGTATCAGATTTAGAGATGAGGAAACTGAGGCCTTGAGACAGTCATTCAGCTAGGAAGTATCTAAGTTGGGCATGGAGTCTATTTCCAGACTCCAGTGGTTGTGTTGGTAGGTGTTTAACAACTACCTCTGAGTGAAGGAAAGAAGTCAGAGGATGGAGGACGGTGGGGAGTGGAGGATGGTGGGACATGGAGGACAGTGGGGCGTGGAGGACGGTGGGGCTTGGAGGACGGCAGGGCGTGGAGGATGGTGGGACGTGGAGGATGGTGGGACGTGGAGGATGGTGGGATGTGGAGGATGGTGGGACGTGGAGGATGGTGGGATGTGGAGGATGGTGGGATGTGGAGGATGGTGGGGCGTGGAGGATGGTGCAACATGGAGTGCTGGTCTGTAACAACTGTAACAACTACTGAGTTCCTTGGTGGAAACCCTCTCTGCTTGAAGTCACTGAATGTGGAGGTGAGAAGAGATAACACAGTCCCCAAACCAGCGCTAGTCCAGGATGCAATCCTTCAAAACAAGCAGAAACTACCCCTGTACGTGGGACTTGGCTTCTCACTTACCCAGCCCCGGATGGTGCCTCCAATCCAAACCTGGCCCTGGTTGATCCCGCTGACTGTACTTCTGATGCGATTGTTGAAGCCGAAGTTGTGGACGGAGACTAGATTGCCTCGGTAGCACCTCCTGCAGACATGCTGTGGAGAGAAGAGGATGTTGAGGAAAGAGGTGAGGGACAAAATTCACTCTCCTGCGTCTTAAGCCCTTGAGTCTCCTGCAGACTCTGTTTTTCTTTTTTAGGTCAGAAATCTAGAACCTCCTCACTATTCTCAATCCTACCTTGTATTCTTTATTGACTGTCACTTTCCCAACAGGGTATTACTAGCAACACAAAAACATTAACCATTGTTTATTAAGACTACTGTTCCAAGGAGCTACTATGCCCAGGTACTGTTCCAAATACTTTCCATATATTATCTCATTCCACCATCCTACAGTTCTGAAAGAGTGGTACTGTACATGCCCATTGCCATGTGAAGGTGCAGAAGCTGCCAAGGTGAGCTGACTTTCCCAGGTAGTCCCGTCGATGAAAGGCAGAACCATGGTTTAGTTCAAGTATATCTAACACCAAGCCCTGTTGTCTAAATCATTAGATAAATATCATTACCACCTGGAATTTGTTATAAAAGGCATATTGTCAGCAATCAGATACTGTGGGGGCACCTGGAAGCAAACTGTGTTTTCGCTAGATCTCTAGGTAATTCTGGTGCATGTTAGGCTTTAACAACTGCTAATCTAAATGACTGCAAGCCGGAGAGGCATCCACTTCCTAAACAACACGCCTCTGGAAACTCTAGGAACTTTGATTAATGCCGACAGTTATAGAAAGGCTTCAGGCCTTTTGTTCATAGGGTCACTATAAGTTGTGCTCAACTCGACGTGAATCAACAGCAACAATCTAAATGAACAAGCAACGGGAGGTTGAATACATTTTCTTCTCTCCTAGACCTCCCCCTCTTACCTGAGCGCCACTAAATCTGCTGGGTCTCCGCACCAACAGATAGCGGCAAGTCGCGCACCCAGGGCTGCCCACAATTTGAACTGTGTCCTCTTCACTGGGGCACTGCAAGTCTTCATCTAAGCCGCCTTCTAGGTCTGACCCCAGGGCCTCCTCATCTTCAAGGACGTCTTCACATCCAGATGCCTCTTTCTCCTCTCCCTCTGACTGATTGACCTTGTCAGGCAGGGCCAATGCTCCCTCCTGCTCCCCTGAACCTTCCAGATTCGGACTCAGGTCTTCTACTGTCTGTGGGGTCTCCAGATTGAGGGCATCATTATCTGAGAAAAGAGTTAACAGGTAAACCTTCCATCAAGTCTAGTTCATGTTTGTTTCAGAACCATGGACAGCTCCAGAGAGCACAATTTGGTGCCAAGACCTGAAGACTCTCCGCTGGTTGGTTAAGAGAAAGCTTTGGTTTCCCACCTATAATAGAGGCACACCTGGCTTCTGCCTGATACTACAGCTGTGTGTTTTGGGGGGCTCATTTGTAAGAAGTCTGGAGAAATCATCTTCCTGAACAGAAAGTTCAGGTGTCAGCTCTGAATTCAGAAGACATTTTACCAGGGATGAATTTCAGGGTCAGTTGGAAAAGGGAAGATTGTAGACCTGCAGTCACCACCACTACTCCAAAAAAGTACAGGAGAGAAAAGAAAAGATCAGGGTGGGACAAGAAAAGGGGAAGACTTACTCAGGTGAAGAGCAGAAACTGCCCCCAGCAAGAGGATTGGCAGGATCAGGGGGCTTTTCATAGCTACTCAGTCTTGTGGCCAAGACACTGTTCCACTTTCTTCTCCTTGAGGCTTGTTCTTAGTGTGTTTACTGCTCCCTGGCACACAGAGAAGATGCAACAAATGTTTAATTAGCTGAGTGATTACAGGATAAATTAGGGAGTGTGTTCCTTCTCTAATGAACAGGCTCCGAGCTGGAGAAATCCGAGGAAGGACTTGAGGGAGAGGCAGGTCAGGCACAACGCCCCCTTTTCCCTGAGAATCCCATCACTGCCCCCCAGGAAAGCACCCGTCCAGACCCTGTCCCTGAGCAGCAGTTACATCGGGATGAGAGCTCATTTCAGTCATTCATTGTGGTCCAGTGGTGGTTGCCAGAAAGTGTCCTCCTTCCTCCTGGGCCCCAGACCCCTCCTCCCTGGGCAGCCAGGGTGTGCTTACCTCTCTGACCGAAAGCCTCCTCTCAGTGCTTTGGCCTGCCAGCCACAGAGGCGGCCCTTATATGGGATTTTGGGGAAGTGGGCAGAGGTCAGCATGATTGCTCCAGGCTGGGGTGGTGGCAGCGGAACTGATAAGGCATTTTCGAAGTCTCCTCAACCCAGTCCAGCGGGGATTGCAGGAACCAGCTTCTTGAGGCCCCCTGCCATCCGGCCCCTTTATGCCCTGGTTTGCTCGAGAAGGCCTCTGGAGTTTTGCCTATTGTCTGAGCACTGCTGTTACTATTGCTCCCTGAAATGTATCTAAACTATACTCCTTGGTTCCAGTAGTGCTCTTCCTCTGATCTATGTCCCAGAAAACAAAGTGGAGACTCTCGGGGGACAGGTGGGAGGTCAGTGAGGGGAGAAGGTATCTGAACTGGTACTTAACACATCACTCTCCAGTCTTCACCTTCACCATATCCCCACAAGGAATGTACGATTATTCCCATTTCTCCGCTGAGATCTGAGAAGGAAAGTGACTTCTCTTTCACACAGGAAATGGGGAAATGGGAATTTCTATCTTTTGGGAGTCTAAGACCTTCTCTCTGTTTCTGTCACTCCCTTTCCCTCCTCCATCCATCCTTCTCTCTTCATGTCATCTAGCTAAGCATTTAAAGAGTTGTCAAGTTCAACACCATTGACATTTCGGGCCGGAGGATTCGTGGTTGCCAGGCACCAGCTCGTGTTCTGTAGGATGTATAGAAGCCTCCATGTCTCTGCCCACCGTTGGCAGCAGCACCCTCACGCTACGTGGTGGCAATCAAAAATGTCTCCAGGTGTCACCAGCTGCCCTTGGGAAGCAAAAACTGCTTCTGGTGGAGAATCATTGATCTAGAACATCCCATTATACCCAATCATCAGGGTATATCTCCAGGGCTGACGAGGAGGGAGCTTAGAAGGCAGAATGAATAGACCCTCCATGCCCTCCTGCCCCGGTGCCTTGGCCCCATCTTCCACCAGCTGCCTACCCCCTCCAGAGCCAAGACCAGGGTGTGGTGAGGGAGGCACTTACCCAAGGGACAATATCTGAGGTCATACAAAATATTCAGTATGCAAGATAAAGAATTCCTTAATGCAATGTTTTATTAAAACTTAAACAAATGCAAAAATAAAACCCATCTCTTTTTTTATGGTGAAGAATAAGATTTAACCAATAAGGGGGTTTTTTTGTTTGTTTGTTTGTTTGGTTTTGGGGTTTGTTTGGGTTTTTTTGGTTTTTTTGGGTTTTTTTTTACCAATAAGGTTTAAGGTCATGATTTCATGAGACTCGTGAGATAAACGGCCTGATAGCATTTTAGTGCTTCTGTTTGACCACCAAAGAGGCGCAAGGGCGCAGTAGGTGTAGGACTCTGGTGTTAACGAAAAGGTCAGCAGTTCCAGCCTTCCATCAACTCTGGGGATCTGTTTCCACAAAGCTTTACAGCCTTAGAAATCTAATGAGGCAGTTTTGTTTTGCCCTATAAGACTGACAAGAGCTCTGGTGGGCTATGATAGGACAATTCGAATCTACCAGCTGCTCTGTGGGAGAAAGGTGGGCAATCTCCTCTCACGTGATCCACAACCTCCAAAAACTCACAGGGTCCGCTTTGAGCCTGTTCTGACTAGAGTGACAGTGTTGCTATGAGTCAGGATCTACTTGACAACAAGGGTTGCCTCTACATCCTAGCCTTTAGAGTGGTGCTTGGGATCCTAAAAGCTTTCAAGCAGCCGCTCAAGGTACAATAATTGGCTTCTTTCACCTAGTGAGAGAGTCAGGAATAGCAGGGAGAGATGAGATCTGTTCCTAACTGTGCCTGTGACCAAATACCTCCTTTGCCATGAGACCAGAAAAAAGGGAAACTGTGGAGTAGAATTCCAAATTTTCATGGAATCCAAATTTTCTGGAATCATGGAAAAAGGATAAATTTTTAAAACTGTTGCCCCTGAGGTAATCTTTTACATGTTAAGCCAATTCTGCTTCCTGGGGTGTTCTTTAAATGAAGCAATACATTAGCTTTAGGAAGAATGTGTGCCTTATTTGAAGAACTACTAATATGGGATCAAATGGACAGCAACAGCTCGAGATGTCAGAGAGGAAGCTTAGGAAGTGATGTGTTGACGGCAATGAGGAAGGAACAGTTTGGAAAAGGAGGGTGAGAATAGTTGTCCAAATTGAAGGATGTCATCAAGGTTACAGAATCAAACGTGGAAATTGTTGAATTTGTGGACTTTTTGTTGTATAAAATTTCAACAATAGGAAAGACAAGTATAACCAAACTAACTATAGCCCAGAGATAAACCAGCTAGCACTTCAGCCTGACTTCAAACTATCTCTGCCAAGAGCCAGTGGGCTTTCAGGGCAAGAGACTCAACTCTGATACCCCAGCTGGGTGGCGCGTATCCTCAGTCTTCAAGGCTGGACCTCCAGAGCTCAGGGCAACGGAGAAAGGTGTTCCAGAGAGTGAGATGGTCTGGGTACCTCTTCTCTCTTCAAATGGAGAAGTGTCTGAGAAACTACTTCAGGGCTGATTGCAGAGTAACGGCCATCACCGTGTTATCATCGCATCCAACGGACCAGACCCTCAGCTTATCTGCCTGACTGAAGAGAGGTTGACCAACTCCAGGGTCCAAAACCTGGTCTCCCAATTTCAAGACTTCTTTGGTAGAGGAGAGGGTGGAGTACTAGACACCACCACCATTTTCCTTCTCCATCCTGAGGAAGGGTCACCATTCTACTTGATGGATAGTAAAAAAAAGACTGAACTTGTCAATGATATTATTTACTTAGACTCATAATCAACACCCATGATAATAGTAATTAAAGAATCAAAAGATTGCAATCCCAGAGGCGCATGGTTCAAATCCACCAGATCCTCTGCCGGGAAAGGAGGGACAATCTCCTCCTGTGCCAGTCAGATCCTATTTGACGGTACACACAAACACAAAATAATAATTAAAAAAAAAAAGAATCAAAAGATGTGTTGCACTAGGAAAATTTGCTGTGAGGGACCTCTTTGTAGGCAAAAGAGCAAAGGTATCACTTAAAGACTAAGGTGTACGCGATCCAAGTCATGCTATTTTTAATTGCTTCCTGCACATCTGAAAGTTGGACAAAGAATAAGGAATAGCAATGAAGACGTGTGCCTTGGAACTGTGGTATTGCAGAAGAACATGGGATATCCCTTGAATTGCCAAAAGAACAAATAAATCTGTCTGGGAGGAAACACAACCAGAGTGCCTTTTGGAAGTAATAGTGGTGGAAATTTGCCTCATATACTTTGGACATGTTGGCAGGAGGAGCCAGTCTTCGGGAAAAGTCATCAAGCCAGGCAAGGGGGGAGAGGTCAGCAAAAGAGAAGACCCTCAACCAGACAGATTGTCACAGCGAGTGATTGCAACAAAGGACTTGAGCACAACAGAGAGTATGGGGATGATGCAGGAGAGGACAAGGGTCAGATCTGTTGTTTATAGGACCACTATGAGTTGTGGAAATTATGAAACAAAAGTATTAATGTTGCATGCGACCAAAATCTTGCTGAAGATTATTTAAAAAAACAGTTGGATCACTATATCAACAGAGAACTTCCAGAAAAACAAACTAGTTTTGGAAGAGGACAAAACACCAGGAATATCATTGCTGATGTCAGATGGATCATGCCTGAAAGGTAAGAATATCAGAAAGATGCCTATGCATGCTTTATTGACTATTCAGAGGCATTTGACTCTGTGGATCACAGCAAATTTATAGCTAACATTGAGAAGAATGGCAATCCCAGAACACTTAACAAGAGGTTGTTGTCCAGACAGAAGCAGGGAAATTGTATGGTTTAAAATCAAGAAAAGTGTGCCTCAGGGCAATATCTTTTCTCTATACTTGTTCCATTTCTACGACAAGCAAATCATTCAAGAGTCTGGACTTGATGTTGAAGAATGTGGCATCAGGACTGGAGGAAGTCCCATCAACAGCAACTTGGGTTATGCAGATGACACAACCTTGCTTGCTGAAAGTGAAGAGAACTTAAAACACTTACTGCAGAAGATCAAAGACTATGGTATCCAATGTCAATTACATTTCAAAATCAAGAAAACAAAAATCCTCAACACTAGGTCAATAGGCAACATTATGACAGATGACAAAAAGACTGAAATTGTCAACAAGTCATCTTACTTAGATTCACAATCAACACTCTTGGTATCAGCAGTCAAGAACTCAAAAGGCATGTTGCATTGGGGAAAATCTGCTTTCAAGAACCTCTCCATAGGACTAAAGAAGAATGATGTCAATTTAAAGACTAAGGTGTATCTGATCCAGGCCAGGGTCTTTTCAATCACTTGCTATACATCTGCAAGTTGGACAATGACTAAGGATGACAGAAGAAAAATCAATGGTTTTGAGTTGTGGTTTCGGAGAAGAGGATTAAATATTCCATGGCCTTCCAAAAGAATAAATATGTCTTGCAGAAAATGCAACCAGGGTGGTTCCTTGAAGGCAAGGATGGTGAAGCTTCATCTCACCTACTCTGGGCATGCTGTTAGGAGCAGCCCGTCTTTGGAAAAGGACATAAT